GGAAGGCTGTACCAATTTGTCAGACCGACCAATAAAGAAAGGCCGAACCAGAGATCATGTACGTATTTTTTTACTTCGCCTCTGACCCCATACAAAGAAAAATAAAGTCAGCATTGTAGAACGGTTATTAAAAATTTGCTTGAAGCATCCTATCTTGCTCATCTTGTTTCTAATTATCGAGAACGCTCAAAAGATAGAGATGATAACTGTAACAAGATCATTAGCTTTCTCATAGAATTTTGAATGGATACGTATCAATTCTGGTTAAAAAAGAATTCAAAAACGAAGAATAACCTGTCCATAGAAAAGACAACTGGTCCAACCCTCGTTGATATGGCTTGGAACGCATGAACGCAGTCAGGAAAACAATTATCATCAATGCCTTAACATCTATTTACTACATATTATTTTCTAATGGCAGGTTACTATGTGGAATGGAACCGCAAGAATGTTGAGATATGAGCAAAACTTGGAACCTCAGATGGGCCTCGAACACACGATTGTCCTCACCGGACACTCACGTTGTGTTCACTACACCAAGCAACGTCCACCTGCGAAACAGACACCAGTGATCACCCTTACTCAAGGCACATCTGCTATCCACCGCACCAGCCTAGGTCCTGAGAGAGATGCAAAGCATGGACCTTGTTTGGTGTGGTGAACACCACGTGAGCGTCTGGTGAGGGCAATCGTGTGTTAGAAGCACAACTGTCGCTTCAAGTTTTGCTCATATCTCAGCATGCTTGTCGTTGTCTTTATCATCAAGTTCTCATAACATTGAAAGAAAACCCCAGCGCTAATAGATGGAGTAAGGACCCAAGTAGTTAAAAAAAATGATAAACATTTGTTCCTAGTGTGGCCGATAACATGTACTTTGACAGAGCAAATGCCAGTCATCACTCATAAGCTCGTAGTTAGGAAGTGAGCTGGGAATCCGTGTTGTTTTTCATTCCTCTTGACGCCTCATTCATGTCTATTCCATAAATTTCTGTACCCAGAAAAAAAAGAAAAAAACAGAAAAACTCCTCTTATAAAACTTAACCTACTCGGTTTCGGTTAAGGTTATTTGCGGATAGTGTACTGTTCGATATATTCAAGAAATTCTAACATTTATACGGTACCTTAAGAGTAGTGTACTGAAGAACAATGAAACTCGTCTTATTTACTAAAACAAAGAAAGCTCAAATTGTCACGAGATGGCATACATCTGTGGTAACACTGGGAGACTTAAATTTCATCCATTGCCCTTTACAAGTTATTTATAGGTTCTTCACAGGTCTTTTTTTTTATTTTGCCTTTAGGAAATATAACAGTAAATAGTAGTGATAATAACAGTGATAGCATATCAATGATAACAAAGATAATGGTAAACGAATAGGAAATAATGAAGGTAGCAATAATATTGATGGGATACAACCACAATGAAGCTGAGATGTTTGCAAAACTCCGGACCGCAGGTGTTTGCGGTGGGAACGAACAAACTATTACCCTTTCTGGAGACTAACGCGTTCACCACCACACCATGAGGGTCTTTCGTTTCGCTTGTCCCTCACCTTAGGCTTAGGGATAATTTTCTTGTTAGATTAGGCTCACTTTTTCTTATCTTTACTCAACCGTGCTCTGTTCTAAAGAACGAAAAAGATTAAGAAAGATGCGCATATGAACTGGATTATGGGTAGCTTTTCTGCCTCCTTTTTCGGATACGTCTGACGTGTTTTAGTCCTTACGCTCCCATAACGTAACTAGCTTGTCCTGGAATTTGGCAGCAAAAGCCAACCCGAAAATCGAAAAAAGAACCGCAAAGAGGAGAGCCTGGTGATCGCATATGATCATATGATCTCATGCCATTTCTCGGATCGATTTTTTTGACCTAAGTCACTCACAAACTGTAAGCGCCTGGTTTGTAAGAGCAACTGGAGGACTTAAGAACAACGAAGCAGTGAATATTGAACAGACGACGTTCACTATGCGAATAATTTAAATTCTTGAGCCTAAATGAGGTCGATAAATTAGTTTTATTCGACTAAGGTTTCAACGTTTTCGTCTCCATCACAATGGATGATTCGAGTAGATGTAGATAGTCCACAGTTGTTTGTTTTCTCGATATGACGTCTTCGCCTTCGCATCAAGTCGGATCCTCCTCAGTGGAGCATCTCTCATCATCAAAAGTTTTAGTTCTCAAAGCAGTTTCAAAATGTCAAGAGACGACGTATCTCACCAAGATTTCCAACTGTCCGGGGTCGGCAAATTGCTACCAGACCTGTCTTGAAAGATTGCGGCATTGACTCGATGCTTCCTTGGGCCACCGCGAGTAATTATGTAAAGCAGATATGTATTCAATTACCTCAATGAAGCCTCAAGGCACATCCCTCAGAGATTGATCAACGGCGATATCTTTGTCCTTCATCATTCACTCACCTCAAAATAAACGTTTTAGATTCAAATTTCAATTCGTTGAATCCGGAATTATCGATTTGCCTAAATACATCGTTCATCATTCAATCGTGGTCGGTTGATAAATCGCAGAAACCATTGCCATCCCAAAGAAACGTCGTCACCAGAACAGCTCTCGATCGATAATCCAAACCCTCCCCGAACTAACCCAGGCTTCCATCCGCATGGAGTTGATAAATTTCGTTTCCCCGTATCCACGAAGATCTTCCAACTTTTACGTGTGGTACCGGTTGTTGGTTGAGGAATTCCACTTCATCTTTAATGTCATAGAGTGCTGGTCGAGCAACTCTATCTGGAGTCCTGAGATAGCCGAGAGGATAGCACAGTGGTAGCGATGTCCGTCATCACGAGCACGGTGCTAGTTTGATGCACATATCGACAGTAGTAAAGCCTATTTTTGCATTACCCATTTCCCAAGTTATTTTTCCAACGACTAAAAGAATGATTGGTGAATATGAAAAGGTATATAATATCTTATAAATGTAATAACTACTGCTATTAGCATATAGAATAGATATCTATGATTGTTTTATGAAGAGCTAAGTCGAAATTTGAGGCAAAATGAATAACTGGCAACATCCACAAGAAAGAATGTGAGAAACAGAATAGGGACTAAGCTAGTAATGTTTAAGACTAAAAGGATATAGGATAAAGCCTTCGGTGTTGATCGATTCCTGAGGAAAGCGCCATGCATTCGACTTTATCAAACATATTTGGTGTGATTGAATGCATATCTGACCTATACAGTGACTCGCAGTGGCCTACCTATACACCGAGTCAGCGCTACTATCCTCCCAGACAGGTCAGGTACCAATTTGTCGACCCCGGAGGGATGGAAGGCTTGGTGAGCCTGGGACGCGGGATCGAATCCATCTGTATTGCAGGGCGCCTCTAACCACTGCACTACACGCTTCGTTTGTTTAAGAGCATTAGATAAAAATATAGACTTTCGTGACAGTGAAACGTCTAACTGAAACAGACAGCATCAGACTAAAGTAACAACACGTCCTACGGGATTTGAATAGGCAGCCGTTGGCACTGCTTAAGCGTACAGTCGCGACTGGATAGAACATGTGTTATTGAATTTTTGTATACATTTTGTAATTTTGACCAATGAGAGGTAATAGCACCGTCGCAACTGTTGTGCCATATTTCAATCCTCCAGCTCGCTTTAGACAACGCCTTAGTTTTCACTATTTCCAAACCAACTCTATCCGGTGATCATTCTTATGGAAAAAAAATAATCCTACCACAAAACACCGTCTCAATCTGGCACTAGTGACAATTTATGATAGTAAATAACAAACCTGAACTCAAAGGTCCATGCCCAACGCTTGCTAATATATCGACTTCTTGTGGTTTTCTATACAACATGACTATCGAAGATTTCCACCGTGAAGAATGTAGAAAACGCAAGTAGATGTTTAAAGACTTGTGAAATTCACTGTTCAGAACCAAGAATCCAAAAAGAAGAGGATGATGCCCGTAAGGAAGGATGAAAACTAAGAGATAGTTGAGAACTTATACAAACTCTCCAGATAAAAACTCATTTAGTATACCACACTTAGCGCGAAAAAATACTTCTGCAGATTTTTCTTTTAGAATATAAAGTTATTCCACCAGTCGATCAAAGTGTTCGTTCGAATCGTTGTTTCAGTCAATCCCGAAAAATCGAGCTATTGACCTAGGAAATGTCATTATCGTAAAACAGTTTACCGCCTCATCGTGGATGGTAGGTGTTCCTGGGTGTCGGACTGCGATGTACAGAGTCGGGAATCGTCCCCCCGGCACGGTCTCCCAAGCTGGGAAGGAGTCCAGCGTTTCCATCAGAAAGCCTAGCTAAAAGTAAACCAATACCAGGATCCACCACTGTCCTGGTATCAAAGTTGCATGGTGGCAAATCTCTCTCTGATCCACAAGGGCTGCGATTGCCTGTGGTGGAGACGACCTGGGGCAGACTTTGGCCAGGCCGTCCTCAGGATACCAGGCAGCCACAATGGCTTAACAAGAAAATCTTCGAAAAATGGTGATTATGCTGGGGCCCGCACAAGTAGCGAGGACGGGCCGTTCAAGTAACAAGTATCAAGTATTATTATCGCTAAAAATATTTTTCATGATTTGTCGCTTGAAAGGAAAATATATTATGTTCAAAGTCTCCACGACGGAAATCGCGGATGTTGTAGTGATCTCTATCGAAACCATTAAGGATTCATAGCAGGAGAACCTTTGATTCCTTTGATGACTGCTGACAAAGGAACAACGTCCGTTCAATCGTCTTTCGATTATCTCACAGTATATGAAGCTTTTTTCTTTACAATGTTCTTGGAAAGTAAAAAACCCAATACTTCATTTCATACACATTTCCCATATCTGAGAATGTGGTGAAAAATCCCATAGGTTCTGCATACGAAGCTTCAGCTGCGATAAAAAGAAAGCATAAGAGACATACGGACATAAGAAAGGAGATACGGTAACTGAGAAAGACATGAACGAGCACATACACAGACATGCAAAGCACATTGGATTTAGAAACACTCGAAAAAAACCCACAAGTACGTCATCTTCGTCGTCTGTCCATTCATCATCAAAGTCGTCGCCACCGGCACTTGACGGAGCCGCTTGAGCATTTGTAGCAGCTGTAAATGTTGACATGATGGAAACTGGTAAGAAATGTTAGCGTTTTCTAACTATTCTACAATGTTGAATTTCTAGTGTTATAAAGGATAATGGATGGAACACTCAATGTTAGTCAATGAGGAAAGATGCGGTATGCATTATAAAGCGTCGTAAACATGGCTGAATGCATGTTTGGACTACAAAACGCTTTCAGAGGGTTTAACGATACGATGATTCAGTGTCTTCATTCTTTCAGAGAAGTCTGATACTAAACTGCTAGCCAAGAAGGGATGGAACACAAGATTTATATGGGACAGGAGGAGGAAAAAAGATGCATTTCATTATGAAAACGAATACTCAAGCTTTCTTTTCATGGCAAAGCAAAACTATACCTGTTGTTAAGGTGGTCGAAGTGGGTGTTGTCGCCGGTAGAGGAAAGCCGGCACCCCAGTCGTCGACAGGCGGTCGCGATGACGGAGCAACTGGTGGTGGTAACGGCTGAAAATTGTTAGACATGTTGCATTTAAAAGAATAAGGTCTTAGAGAACAAGATGAGAGACAGGCGAAACGAAGGACCCGAATGGTGTAGTGGTGAACGAGTTAGCCCTCGGAAAGGGTAATAGCGCATTCGTTCCCCACAGACGCCTGCGGTCCAGAGTTTTGCAAATGTCTCGATATCATTGGGTTGACTGGGACATAATACCCTGCTGTATGAGGCAGTAAATAAAAAGTTGATTTATAGAACATTTTTTCGGCAAACGCATTACAGATTTCTTCCGTTCTCCATCTTTTGATTCCTATTTCTTTAAAAACAATCTTAAGGAGGTTTAAAATCGATGGATTTATTGAAAAACTAACTTTTATAGTTTGACAAACAACTCAATCCTTCAGGGCAATAGTTATAGTTTGTCTTGGAAAATCAACTGCTTTCCAACAACGCCATAATGTCTGGATTCTCCTTTCATATTATGTAGTATCTCTTAGTGTTATGATACTTCCAGTCTACTTACGTTGTAGTGGAAAAACTCGAGCTTCGCTTTCTCTGAGACATATTTCCTCCGTTTCACAACCAATGATGATCAACTCAACTGAGATAAAAACCATGCTTGTAGCAGTTTTTTTCCCTTTTCTAAAGAAATTTACAAAAACTGTCTTGTTACTGTTTACTCTGACAAAACTCCGCTAAGACTTTCTTGCATCAATACACTCCTCACTTTATTTTTCGCCTCAGTCCTATCTCCCTCAATAATCGACGACGGCGTGAAGAACGTAACTGAACGAAGTTCTTCCAGAACCGGCTTCATCGTGCTGCAAGTATGGCGACGAACCATTTGACGGCGTCGTCTCTGGGTTAGCTGATTCGTTTCCTCGGCTGCGACCAAAATAGCAGCCATTCTTGGATCGGTTTGATCGACGGCTTTACGTAATCCCGACGTAAAAAGCATTACAGTAGGTTATTACCGTCACGTTCGTCCAGAATAAGAGTGGTCAGTTCAAATATGCTTCTAGAAGAATGATTTTATCAAGTCATTTCTACGCAAGTACGTTTAGACCATATCTACGTTAAGCGGTCAAAATAACTCTGTCCTAGTAAAATAAGAATTATTATTGGCAATCGACGATTAATCAGTGCCAATCAGATTGAGAACAAGTCAAGAATATGGTCAACATATACAATAAAATAAAAATCAGAGTAGAAAATGAAGATGGTGATCTTTTATTATTCATTAAAACAAAGTTCAATTCAAATACTTACACAGAACCATGACTGACTGACATGACTCTAAGACGCCAGCTTGTTCGTAACTGCCTATATGAGCGTCTATGTGCAACGCAAAATTGTATAATTTGCCCCAATGGTAGAGGCGGTGATTGCATGAATTCGGGCACAGTTTGTCTGATCTCTTCTAAAGTGTGTAGGGACGAATACACTGCTGAAAAGGGTAGACCACGCTGTGTTCGTATAAAAGATCACCTAGCCGGAAAACTTAAACCAAACACTCCACTAGGCACGCATAGGACACAGAGACATAAAGGTGAATTTTTAAGTAAAAGTCACGATAGAAGTCGCACAGGAACCGAAAACGCAAGCGAGCAAAATTCTTGAGGTATTCTGGACCAATTCGAAGAATCCGAAAATAACCCCCAGGGAGGAATTTGTCATAATAACGCTTGATACTGGACAGTATCTAAGCCTGCTATTTTAATGTGAGGGGCATATTACGCTCCCAAGTGAACTCTGCGCCGTTAGTCTTCATGTGACATATTTAGTGGAAGACTCATAGAAAGCGGCGAGTGTGCAAAGAAGCAATTCTGTGTTCAGTACGATTGAAATCTTCCTTGAGCGTTTTTTCTGTTTGGTTATGGAAGTGTTTGGCGGTGCAGATTGCAATCAACTTGACCTTTATAGGCTCTGAGGAAGGCGAAATTCGCTGGAACGTCAGCTTGTGCGTAAATAAAGAAATAAAATAACACCTCGTGTTTGCTAAACAGGAATATAAAGAATTGTTCGATCAATGCTGAGGCTAATAAACAATCGGTCATGGGAGAAAATACACAGTCGTTTTAGAAAAAATAAAAGGATGAACGATAGTGTGGGAACAGCGAATCGATTACCATTATTCTACATCTTCAATACGACTGAATATGAATAAGAAGCAGAGTTGCAATAGATAACTGTAAGGCTGAATCCATGAAAAATACCATCATAATCTCGACTGGTCGACGACGTCAGCAAAATTGAAACATCGTAAGAAAAAGACATGTCGAATTTGAATAACACCATAGTTATTCGTCTCAGCTAATTTCATTATATCTTATGTAATTACTCAGAGTTCCACCACAACCCAATAGCGACAATGGCGTCCTCTGAAGCCGACGACCACTGATGAATGAGACGAAAAACACGAAAAAACGCACTTAAGCTCTTAGTAGCAACACCGAACAAACGTTACATAGGCTTACCATTGTAGATATAATAAACGGACCTATTTCCCTACTGGGTTCAATTGGGAATGAAATGAAGATGATGCTCATTGTACGAATTTAATAGGATTCCGTTTCAACGAATTCCACATAGCTGGTACAACAGCGTGGAAGTAGAAGGAACAACTCGATAGAGTAGTAGAGTTTAACAAAATCGATTTAGGATTTTTAGGCGAAAAATAGCACACATTAACAAACATCAGCTGCTTACTTTTATAGCAGCATAACAAAGTCGCAACAAGTGCAACAAAATGATGATCCTATGCCAGATAACTACAGCAACTTCGTTTCAAACAAAAAGACCTATTATGCTCTCATAGTAAAGACTACTGTAGCTAAAGAAGTCTCATTGTATTATATTATTAATGGAAAATTTAGCTCGATTAATGGAAGTAGTATACTTAGCCATGAGCCATACGTCTACGGCCCACTATGGAAAAGTTGAAAACAGGCACACTACTTCAGAGGCGTCATTAAAGGTTCCCAACCTAACTACGTCAACCCTTTAAGCATCGATTGTACAAGACTAAGAATAAACGCGGTAGTTATTGTTATTCTGTGGTTACAAGAGAAGCTCTTCAACGCACTTCCTTCGTTCAATGTATGATGCGTAGCACGTGGATCATCATCAAAGCATGTTCACCAAAATAGAAAAGAAAGTAGGACATTAATAAAGAATAGACAAATAAAGCAGACATTACCGCCATCCTCGAGAAATCTAGTTGTAAGATGGCAAAATATTGTGAGATTCACAAGATTCTTCGACTACCTACGGTAACCATCGACCCCCTCGCACGGTCATGTAGGCACTCTAGACAGAAATGTAATAAAAGGTGCCAAAAAATCTTAAACATAACCTAAAAGATAAAGTGTCAACTTTAAAACAAAGGATTACGAATAAAATCTGGTAAGTAATACAATGAGTTAGTAGGATAATGGAATACACCCACCCACGACGGTTTTAAATCCGTACTAAGTCCATACGGTAACATCAGTGTAATAGGACACTGATATTTAGTCAAAATATTGATCTGTATGTATAGGTCTTGGCAAGTGTGGTGCAGTGGTCGGAGGCGTCCTTCGACACACCTAGGATCGATCGCTGCCCTCATGGTCCACCAAGCCTTCCATTCCTCCAAGGTCCGAAAATTGGTAACAGACTTACCTAGAAAGATAGCAGTACCGGCTCGATACATAGGAACGCCACGCAAATCATCGTAAAGGCCAGATATGCATTCAATCACCTCCAACGATGCTTAATAAAATCGATCGAATGCACGGCGCATCCCTCAGGAATTGATTAATCTTGAGAGCTTTATGGGCTTTTTTATTGTTATGTATAGGCCCGATAAAAGTCAGTTCAAAAGCTTTGCTGAGGAATTTTACTCTTATTGCATTCGGTATGAAAGACGTTGGTATCCCGCCAGAATATGTTGTCACGTAAGCTTACTCATAGATCAGCTTCCGGGTAGAAGCATCAAGCTTCTAAGGATGGATATCCTTTTTGGAGTGCACGAATTCCCCATGCATTTTGTGGATGGACCCTTAAGAAAGCTTCAAGCCACTACGAGACTGCAAATTATTTCATGGAAGAAGATAAATGGCGAGAGAAGCAGAAAAATTTGACAAAACAATGGTAAAAAAAAACTGTCTGCATTTGTCTTGCGGAATTTTTAACAGAAAGAACAAACTCTATCTGATAATCCTTGTTTTGATAATCCCATAGGCAGACAATCGGTTAATCTACCATTCTTATTCCTTAGTTTCAGTCATTCGACAGCTATACTATGAAGCGTCCATCAGTGACCCCAGATCTCTCAACTACCACTTTATGAATAGGGCTCTGATTTAAGCTTAGCTTAATGAGATATGAGATAGAGATATAGATGAATCAGATTTTTTAAAATTAAAAGACATTAATTACTATCGACGGAATCGAATGGAGAATATTCAGAGAATAGTGGTGTAGTCTGGCTGTAGCGAACTCGCTCTAACCACGACAACAAGGGAAAAGAGGAAAATCTGTTTTGGCAATGAGGTCATCAAAGCGG